TTTAGAGTTTAGGGGTTTAGGGTTTAGGGTTTAGGGTTGGTTCAGGGTTTAGGGTTTAGGGTTTAGAGTTTAGGAGTTTAGGGGTTTAGGGTTTAGGGTTCAGGGTTTAGGGTTTGGGGAAGCCCATGATCCTCACCCATGCCCCTGCAACCCTGAGTAGTAGAAACTCGTACAGAAACAAACGCTCCAGTGTTCGCAAAAAAAGACCAAAAAAGCGGCTGTTCCAAAATAACACCTCGCATTCACAGGCAAGAACTAGGGCTTAGGGCCTACACCCTGAAAACCCAAAGCCTAAACCCTAAACCCCTAAACCCTAAGCTCCAAACCCTAAGCCGGTTGCAGCCCTAAGCCTACACCCTAAACCCTAAACCCTAAACCCTAAACCCTAAACCCTAAACCCTAAACCCTAAACCCTAAACCCTAAACCCTGAAACACCTTCAAGCCCCGGGGCACCTCCAGGACGGGGTCCGACCTGGCTTTCCACAGTTTTTGCGGGCGGCTTGGGGTCGCGTACCCTAAACCCTAAACCCTAAACCCTAAACTGCTTCGGGTTTAGGGTTTAGGCTTTAGGGTGTGGGGTTTAGGGTTTTCGGCTTAGGCCCCAAACCCTAAACCGTCAAACCTCCCTAAACCCTGAACTCGAAGCCTAAACTGGGGGTGTTGAAAGCTTTGGAAGATTTAGGGGGCTTTGGGCTTTAGGGTTTAGGGTTTAGGGTTTAGGGTTTAGGGTGTTCAGTGTTGAGGAGTTAGGCGCTGTTGGTTTTAGGATTAGGGTTTGGGGTTCAGGATTGGGCTTGGCATTCGGAGTTTACCCGCTCAGATTTGGGGGTGCCTGTATAATCAGCTCTGAGGAGGCCGGAAACCCTAAACCCTAAACCCGAAAAACATCCAAGATAATGTTTGCGAAGCCCGGTTGCTTGTCTGGCTTTACATGAAAAGCCGAACCTCTGCATGGACTTCTGAGAGCTAGGTTCCCCAGTAGCCCCTAAATAATGAGGGTACCCCTTTTTCCTACAGTTTGGTTTTATTCAGGGAACCCAAAAAGAAAAAGGGCAACAGGGTACTACTTGGGAACCTAGAGAGTGTATGCTACAGGTCGTTTTGAGGCTTCCTGTGTGACTGTTACCAGTGTGTTGCGGGTTCTCTTCAGCTGTTTGAACCCTTCTCAGGCGCGGCGTCGTTGCTGTGCCGATGGTATGATACTGCTCATGGACATTAGCCCGCATCACTTCAAGTACCCTGAATCCAAAATTTGCTATAGGGTTGCAGGGCTTTGTCCAAAAACAGTCTGCTTCAAAACAGAAGACAACAATCCCCCACTTGGAGGGTCGCGAGACCTAGCATGTAGTAGGTAGACTTCTAAGTGTTTTTAACACGAAGACGGTCCTAATTGGGGATACTTACAGGTGTGTAGAATAACTCCTTGTTAAGTCCCCCGTGTGGGGAGCTCCATGTTTTATTTGCAGCTCGAAACCGGGACTTCCAAGTGACATTCAGGGTCCTGGGCTCGTGGTGTAGGGCTGAGGCTTTAGACAGACAGCCCCTGTAGGGTTTAGGGTTTAGGGCTATCTAAGAATTTGCTTTGGCTTGAATAAATGGCGCTGGCTCTCTAGGTAGTGTACGGATTTCCCGGGTCCCATGATCACCTCCAATGATAAGGTGGCCGAGGGGCGGGGGGCGGGGTTGGGACTACACTGCCCCTTACCTCCAACCCGTCTTCCCTAAACCCTAAACCCTAAACCCTAAACCCTAAACCTAAACCCGAGGGTCCTTTTGATCCAAGGCGGGATCTGCAGAATGCCTTAGGTCTTCGAGGGCTTCTTCAACACCCGAGACGCCGCTTTCCTGGGATAACAGGGCTGAGGGCTTAGAGATTAAGGGCTTAGGGTTTAGGGTTTATAGGAGAAAAGTGTGCCCTCAGCCCTACATCTGAACCACGTACAGTTTTGGCCAAAACCTAAACCCATAACAAAAAAACTAAACCTTAAACCCTAAACCCTAAACCCCCTAACCCAAAACCCTACACGTTAAACCCCAACTCCTCATCAAACCCTAAACCTTCAAACCTAAACCCCAAACCCTAAACCCCTAAACGCCTGAACCCTTAAACCCTAAAGCCCAAACCCTACACCTCAAACCCTAACTCCTCAAACCCTGAACTCCTGAAACCCTCAACCGTACATAACCCCGAAGCCCTAAGTCGAACACTGACTTAGGGTTTAGGGCTTAGGGTTTACGGACCAAGAGTCGGCCTTGCCCCAGCGGTGGACGTGGGCGTCTTTTTCCCACACTTCGGCGTAGGTTTCGTTTTGGGCGCGGCTGTCCTTACTTTCCTCGGTTCAAGGGAAATAAACGGTGAAAGGTAGAAAAACACTGAGTTACCCATACAGCAGTTTACGGGCTTAATCTGTACAACAGTGCGGTATATTGCACCAAGAGTTGTCGGAACTGCAAACTCATCCAAATGCGACTTCTTCAAACCCTTGTTGGAGAACAGTGCTGTTAAGCTGCGCTCTACCAAGCTCTTCTTGCACATGGCGGCTGTCGCCACCAGCGTGAGACCAGCCCCATGACACCACGGATCCTAGGTGTCCCCTAAACCCTAAACCC